CCACCGAAGGGTCATTTGTTAGAAGTTCGGGGCTAGGAAAACGATGGCAGCTCGATTTTGTATCTGAGTTGAGGGACATTGTGATTTCAAACATCAGAGAAATTTTTCAATTCTCAACAACTCGTGAGGGAAATGCCGGTCTAAAATTGGAAACCCCTTTAATCACTTTTTGCAGATATTGACAGTCCACTTGCTTCTAAACTCAGACGGCATGGATACCTTCAACTGTAATGCGAAGTCACTTTGGCCAGTTTGGCTGGCCATTGCCGATCTCCTCCCCCCCCCCATGAAACGGTGCATGAATAAAAACATCACACTCGCGACACTGTCGTATGGAGAGAACAAACCAGACTGGAATGAGCCTTCTCAGGTGAGATATTCTACAAAATAAAAGTCAACAATTAAAAGCAAAAAAATGTACTGCAATTTTCATTTTGAAATCGTCAGTCTTGCTGAAAAAATTTCGACTTTCGAACAATCTCAGCATTTTTTCAGGTTTCAACGTTTTTTTATGTTTAAGGAACTGCAAACAAAGCTTCAGACAACTGAGTGCTCAATCAGTTTTCAAGGACGCACCTACCGCTTGATTTTTTGCGTCAAAATCTTAATTTAGGATATGCCAGCAACATCAGCTATGCTCAACATTACCACCTTAGAGCAAAATTTGGATGCACGCTGTGTTATGCTGAATCAAACTTCAAAGAAAGCGTTCAATTTTATTCAAACAGAACCTTTAAAATGAGGGATAGTGGCACGCATCATAGATTTCTACAAGAAGTGAATCTTACAAATAAGCCCAATAAAGGAGTTAAAGGGTCAACTAAACTTTCAGCAATTTTAAACGGTTTATCATTGACAGCTGCAGTTGACAGTACGCACCAAGTCAATCTCGCTCTTTCAAAAGTCTTACTTGGTTTCGTAGTAAGGAAAACTGCAACCATAGAGAAGAAAGACCTAGACCCAGACGACTTGGCTGCATCAATCGAGGTAACTATTTTAGTTTTTCAAAGAAACTTAGACTGAGTTGAGCCTTTAACTGAAATTGTTTCAGCTAACAAAAGATTTCAAAAGAAGCGTACGACCATGGTCTGACTTAGAACATTTCAAAGCAAACGAATTCAAGGTCTGGCTCCTGTACATTGGCCCGCTCTTGTTAAAAGAAAAAGCACCTAAGAGTTTTTCGAACGATTTTTCATTTTTTAGTTACACAATCCGTTTACTGATGATGTCCAGTAAGTATGTTGATTCGGCAGATACTTTAGCACAACTGTTTTTGAAACAGATGGAAGATGCATATGGTGAAAATGTTTTTTCGCCCAACGTTCACAGTATAAATCACCTTGCATGGCAAGTTAGAAACTTTAGGCCTCTCTGGATCGCTGATGATTAGCTGATTACCTTCTGAAGTCAAAATTCACTGGAACTTTGAATATCCTTCCTTTTGTTATAGAGAGGTACCATAGGAACAAAGAAACTTTGAAAAAAAAATCGTAACAGAAGACTCGCTTGCAGATCTCTGCCATCAATTTCTAAACACTTCAAAACTTTTTTACAGAATTGTTTAGGATAAGTCAAGGTTGCTTCTGCAATTCAGAAATGAAATTACGCCGTTCTACAGCAATGCGACGCCATTCTACAGCAAGGCGAAGTTTGCTAATTTTGAGCTGGTCTCGGTTTTCCATTCTAGTGCCGTCAACAGTTACGTTACGTTTCTAAAGAATGATGCACCGCAATGTGGTCAAACACAATTCTTTATTGGCGGCTGTCCCGAAAAAATGTTGATCAACATTTAACGATAGTGGAATCACATCAGTGCGCGAAAACCGTCGATCTGCCAATTTTTTCCTTCCACCAAGTGGAGCAATCTAATCGTGTTGCTCTGATCAACTTGCATTCTGTGACCGCAAAACTCCTGCGCATTGATCTACCCGAAAGAATATACCTTAATCCACTCATAAATATGTTTGAACATGGTTAATTTTTGCCTTGCTTGCATTAAAAGAAAATTGTCGAAACTTAAATTTATCTACCGGTCTTGAGATCGGCTTTTTGCCTTGATGTGCTTTTGCCTATTGTCATGATGTGCTTTTTTCTATGAAAAACCCAAAAACACGCATGAACATACAATCATGACCATATTCTTAATCAGTTGCTTCTGTTCTCGCCAGGTACGTGCCAACTCACCTCGTTTCACGCCAAGACATGAGGGTGTCTTGGAACTCGTCTCAAGGAACCCAGCATGAATTTGGGAACACAGGCGATCGCATCAAGAGGCACATCAAGAGGCGCGCATTTCGATGCGCGCACTGTCAATATATGTTTTTGAGAGATAACTAAATCGTAAATTTGGTAAGCGAAGCAAATGCGTTGCCAAGTATGTTGTATTAGAACTTACATCTCTTCTTTATGGGTGAATGCCACCTTTTATCAATTTTTCATGCAAATTTTACCTCACAGTATTACAGTTCGATTCCTTTGAACGATTAGTTTCATGTCTGGGTTTCTCCTTCAAAAGACCTGAATAAACTGAGTCAAATGTTTTCAAAACCACAAATTTGAAATTTTTGAAACTCTAAATATTGTATAAAAGGCTGGGGCGGATTTAGGATTTTCTCGAGGGAGGGGTGCGGGTTTTCAAAAATGAATTTTGTCGACTGTTTTTTAGGTCGACCAAAATGATTTTCCGAGGTCTCCCTAAGCACTAAAAAGATGAATGATACCTTGAAAAACTATGAATTTTAGGTTGATTTCAAACTTTAAGAATCAAAAAGACTGCTCGAAACAAAACAAAGCTCTAAATTTTCCGACTGCTTTTGATGAAAGAAATATTGGCAAACAATGAATTTAGACTGATACCGAACTTAATTTTCCGGCTGTACCTCAATTTATATCGATTGGTTTTTGAGGAATGGAAATTTTTATATATCCTATGAAATTTGGACAAAATCAAAATGTGGAATATTGAGTCGTACAAAATTAAAACGACCGATCCAATTAGCTAGCCTCAATTCAATTGGGAACAATTTTGTGATTTTTTTGTGCGGGATAACTTGTCACGTATATATGACTTGCGTTAAGTTTTTAGCAACATGAAAATTTTCTTCAAAGCGCGCATAAAATACTCTAGAAAATGGCCAATTTGGGAACTTTCAAACCCCCAATTTTTGATCTAAAAGGATCGGAGGTGAAAAATCTTTTCATATTTCAATTCAGGGGGTCGATAACTTCAAAATGCGACAAAGTTAATTGAAAACTGTTATTTTGATTGGCGAAAAGTGACTGAATAAAAAAATCACACCGAGCATAAATATTCCGTTTTCTTCGAAAGTCGGAACAATTATGTTCATGGACAAAGACTTTCCCTTTTATCTATTTTTTTGAAAGCTCGTTTGAAAAGTTTTGTAATGTATGGCAATCAAAAACGTGGGTCTGAAAATTTTGATGAGAAAAAAAACAAGGAAAATGTTTTAACTCTGTATCTGTTTTTCATATATCTGGTTCAACGGTCTGTACTTACTTCTCTGTTCTATCTGCGGCTGTGATAGTTTCTTTTTGTTTGAGATAATAGAAAACAAAAATGTAATCGTTTCTAGTTTACACGATGTACTTGAGTCTTTCTTGCTTTGAACTTTGATTTGATAATAAATTAGTTGGTTGCATGTGTTTGGTAATTCAGTTTTGCATTTTTTCAATTTTGTATTTGCTGAGTTTTGGTTTTCAATTTCTTTCCCGGAGTTTTCCTGATTGTATGTGAAAAGTTGAAGTCATCTAAGATGGTTGTCAATTGTCAAGTTGGCATATAACACTCGGCCTCATTTTGTAGTTGTAAAATAAATTTAAAAAAAGGAGTGGGGTAGTTCCTACTTATAAAACTTAAAACGCTGGCTTAACGGTCGTTTAAGTGTCATTTGATGTTATCGGCTATGGTTGTCGGCGCAAGGCTGCTTTGGGGTGAGGCTGTCATTGTCGTGAATCTTCGTTTGCTGGTTGATTGCAATGATCCGGACTAACAGATGCTAGTCTAATGGCTGGTATTGACGCAATTTTGTCTCTTATTTTGACGAAGTAAACGCGGATCTGGTCATCATCGGTTGGTTTGTTTCCTGTGATCCGTCCAATTGGCCAGAGTCCTCGTGGCGTCATATCCTGGAGAATCCAGACAATTTTTCCTATTTTGATAAGCGGGGTCTTCTTTGTCCATCGTTGTCTTGGCAGTAGTGTTGGGCTAAACTCCTTCATCAAGCGTTTCCAAATATGGGTTGCGAGTTGTTGGGCAAATTTCCATTGTCGACTGAGTGTTGAGGGCTGTTGGGTGTGTAGAGGTGGCATGCTGGCATGCGCTTTCCCGAGAAAAAAATGATTTGGGGTGAGGGCTTCAACATCATCGGGCGATGCTGAAACTGTAGTGATGGGTCTTGCGTTCATGAAGTGTTCAACTTCGCAAAGAACGGTGTTGAATATGTCGTCTGTTAGAATCTGGCTTCCTTTGATGGCATGGAAGGAGTCTTTGACTGATCTTATGAGTCGTTCCCATAACCTCCGAAATGAGGAGCATAGGCAGGGTTGAAGGTCCATTCAATCTGATGGTTGGCGTAGAATTGTCGTGTAACATCGGCGTCAAAGTGTCTGTTGAGTTCTTTGTCGGCTGCGGTGAAATTTGTACCATTATCAGAAACAATTTTGACTGGTTGTCCTCTGCGAGCGAAGAATCGTCGTAAGGTATTGATGAAGGCGTCGGCTGATTGGTCCTGGCACATCTCAAGATGTACGGCTCGTGTTGTTAGGCAAGTCATTATAACGCCGTAGCGTTTGTTGTAGTTTCCTGCGGTTTTCGAAGCAAACGGTCCAAAGAGATCTAATCCTGTTTGTTGAAACGGGAAGGGTTTATCTTCTGGAAATCTGAAGGAGCGTAGGGGCGCTAGTTCCGGCTGTAGTCCAGTTGCCTGTTGTCGTCACAGTTTTTTTATGATCTTGTCAATGTGTGCGCGAACACAGAGAATCTAATACTCGTTTTGAAGAATTTTTTTCAAGTGCTGGCGTGGCGAATGCTGGTTGTCTTTGTGGGTTTGTCCTATAAAGAGGTGAAGTGCTGGGTGGTTTCCATCAAGGATAATCGGGTGTTTTATGCAATAGTCCAATTGAGATTTCTTGAGGCGTCCACGTGCTCGCAAGAGTCCGTCTTCGTCTAGAAATGGTGATAGGTGTCGAAGTCTGCTATTTGTGTTGATTCGTTTATTTTGTGTCAATGCGTTGACCTCTGATTTGAAGCTGTCTCGTTGCGTCTGCTTGAAGATAAAATTCTTTGCGGCAATCATGTTGTTGCTTGTCAGTTCGGTGGTCGGGCTTTTGTTGCGGGACTGTAATCCTATATCTTTAAAAATCCTGGCGGCACGAATCACGTATGCAGTTGTTCTGAGATTTCTTGAACATTTGGAGAATCTTCTGTAATCGATGAAGCATTGTTCTGTCTTTTCGGTGGAAGCTTGAAAAGCTAGCATTGGGGTTGTTGCTAATTCATCCATTTGTCCAGTTTGATCGTTGAGTTGCAAGGTATCCGTATTGGCGTCGATTAACTGTAGCTTTGGCCAGTTGCATTCTAGTTCACATATGAATTTTGGTCCGGTGAACCATCTTGACTTGTTACTGAATTCTGATAAGGGTATTCCACGGGTTCCGTCGTCTGCTGGGTTTAGGGGTCCTGGGCAAAGATTCCATTGACTCGCTTGGGTGCTTTCTGAAATTTCTGCAACTCTGTGAACAAAAATTTGTTGTGGTTTATCAGATCCCTGTATCCATTGAAGCGCTGTTGTGCTGTCTGTCCACATATGCGTAGAGTTGACGACAAGCCTTTGTTCTCTGCGAATGAACTTTGCGAGGCGAGCACCAAAAACTGCGGCTTGTAGTTCCAATTTAGCTATTGTGTGTTGTTTTAGAGGAGCAACTCGAGCTTTTCCTAGAACAAAGGCGCTGCAGATTTGCCGAGTGGCACTCTTGCTGTTTACAAAATAAGCGACTGCTGCTAGGGCGCTGTAGGAGGCATCTGAAAAAACGTGAAGAGCGATGTTGTCGTAGCTGTATCCAAAATAGTGTCGGGGTGTTTCCACTGTCTGTAGATCTTTTCTCTCGTCGAGAAGCTCAAACAGTTCAGGTATCATTTCTCGTGTAATTTGGTTATCCCACTTCATTCCTTTTCTCCAAATTGCTTGCTGGATTATTCGTAGTCGTATCGTAATAGGTGCCGTTATTCCAATTGGGCAAAAATTGAGGAAGCTGTGCGAAGTAGGTTCCATTGTGTAGGTTGCGAGTTCGTGTAGTTTGTCAGTAGTGAAGCTGAGTGTATCGTTACTTACTCTCCATCGTATTCCGAGGATTCGCTTGAAGATTTTGTGGTCCTTGATTTCGTCTATGGTGATGGATCTATGTTCTTCTGGTATTGTTTGCAGAATTCTATGATCCGTAGTGATCCACTTTGTCAGGTTGAAGCTTCTTTGTTGTAGTACGTGTCCAAGGTCTTCTATGATTTTCACTGCGGTGTCGATGTCGTCGGTGGCTTCGAAGAAGTCGTCCATGTAGAAGTTCTCGTAGACAAGTTTTTTGATGTGGGGATGGCTTTCAGCATTGTTGTCTGCGCAAGTTCTTAATGCGTAAATTGCACAAGTAGGAGAACATTTGGCTCCAAAGACGAATCGAGTGTACTCAAAAAATTCGGGCTCTTCCGCTCCCCAGAGGAAACGAAGAAATTTTCTGTCTTCGGGGTTAACAGAAACCTGCATATACATCCCTTCAATGTCGGCAGTGATGGGATGCTTTCCTTCGCGAAATCGGGTAACTACTCCTAGTAGATTGCAGAGCAAGTCAGGTCCAGTGAGAAGCATATCATTCAGACAAACTACTTTAAATTTGGATTTGGCATTGGAAACGGCGAAGTTTTCCTGGCTTGTTTGGATTGATTACACCATGTTCAGGTAAAATCCATCCTGTCGAAGGCATTTTGGCTCTAATTTCCGTATGTAGTGCTTGCTGAGATCCTGGTCAATTGTATTTTGGTAGAGAGCCAACTTTTCTGAATTCTTGTTAAGTTGTATTTTCATCCGGTTGTATTGGGCAATTGCTGCTTTATAGTTGTTGGGAAGATTTGCATTTGGTTTCCACAGAAGTCCAAGTTGATAGCGGTTATCGTATGGTTTTCCGAAGTGTTTGCATAGCGTGTCTTTCCTCTGATGACATCGTTGTTTCAGGTGATGTGGCATAGGTTTCCATTCGCCAGAATGAAGCGAGAAGATCCGAGATTTGTGTCTCGTCAGTTGATATCTGTATTGGAGTGGCTGTGGCTTGGTGGCTTGAGAAGTATCCAGTGTCGTTGTTTGGTACTGCTTTTGTCCATCCTAGGGCTCTAAGGACTGCTCGAGGAACCTTTTGATTTCCTTTGATGATGGTCTTTGGGCTGATGATGTCAATATTGTCCGTTCCAATCACTAGGGCTACGTCGTTGATGCTGAAGTCCGGCAAACATATATCCTTAAGGTGGTCGTTTTGGCTGCAGATTTCGTTCAACTTTTCGGGCTCCGCTGCATTCAAGTTGATGTTCTCTTTGAACAAAACATTAGTTAGTTCAAACGCTTAAGTGTTATATCCAAATGAATGAACTGTAATATCCACTGTCTTTAGCCTCTATCGTTTGCGAGTTGAAGAAACCTCCAATTAGCAGTTGTTCCTGATGGTTAGTTTCCTCCTGTTGAAGACATGCTGCTTTCGGTTGCGATATGTAGCTATTTATATTTCCTGTATCAAGAAAAGCGTATACATTAAGGTATATGTTGCGGTGACGTAATGTTACTGGTAAAAGTAGCAGCAATGGGCTGTTGATTTTTGATATCTTCTTTTGGCTGGCAAGATGGTTGACTTGATTCGGTCGCTGGTTTGGATTAAACTTTGCTGTTCTTTGTGTTCGTTGTTCGTCGTGTAGAGTTGTGCGATGATGCTGATTGCATTTGCTGCATGTGTGGTTTGATGGGCTGTCTTTTACTTGATGTTGGCCAAGGCAGTTGAAACAAAGTTTCTTTTCAGAAAGGAGTCTCTTCTTCTCTTCCAAAGGTGAATTCTGATACATGCTGCAGTATGCTGGGTGGTGAGTTTGTACGTCGAAGCGACATGGGGTCGGGTATTCGCACTCTAGTTTTAAGAAGTCTTATGTGAAGGCTGGTTGGTTGATGGTCGAGATCCGTTGGCGTGTCGAAGTCTTGGGGCTATTTGTTGTCGATCGTTCGAGTCCAGGGTCATTTGCTGCTGCGGTTGCATAGGTGGTAAGTGATCGCATGCTAATGCAAACTGTCTGATCCAGTCGTTGAAGGCGATCAGATTAGGCTGGTCGATGTTCTGGGCGGTGATGTACTGTGTCCACTGAAGCTGCTGATGGTGTTGCAATTTGTTGACGGCGAAACGAACGTATATTGTACAGTTTAAATCGTCTTTGAACCCAAGAGTCCGAAATGTTTCCACCATGTTACTGATGAATGTGGAAAATTCCATGTACGAATCCCTGTTGTGAGTTGATGGTATCTTGAAGCTATGTAGTCTGTTGACGAAGTCATTGATGATGATGCCGGGTCGTCCATATCGTCGTCGTAGTTGGTGGAGATCAGCGTTGTACATAGTGCTATTGCAGGTGTAGCCAGAAATGGCTTGATTTGCTTTTCCAGTCGTTAAAGTTTGCAGATGAATCATCTTTTCGGCGTCCGAGATGGCTTGATTAAGGATTGTTGCTCCGAAGAGTCCGAACCACATGCTCCACTTCATAGGGTTTCCGCCGAAAGGCTCGATTTTCACTTTTGGGGGCCTAGTCATAAGACTGTAGTTTGCTCGTGACTGTCCATTACTTGACGTCTGAGATACTGCTGCTGGAATGATTTGCTGTTCTGTAACTATGTTGAAGCTGAGGTTTGCGTTGGTGGTGTCGTGATCTGTTTGTTGAAGTGGTAGTCTGTCTATTTCGAAACCTGTCTGGCGACTTGCTGCTGAGTATCTCGGCTATCTGAAAAGTTTTGGTCCTCTACTGTTTGCTCAACTGATGATCCGGGCTGATGGCTGCTGTTGGATAATGTTGACGTCTGGCTAGAGTCCCGATCTAGTATTGTCTGTTGTTGCACTGAATCAGCTGTGGGGGGGGGGGGCTTGAACTGTGGTGGCATTAGTGTTCTGCTGTTGTGGAGTTGTCTCTGCTGTATTTTCTTGTAGCATCTGTCTAAATTCATCCATGATGTCGTCGTGTTCGTCTTGTATATCAGTGAAGCGGTCGATGAGATCCTCCGCAGTGGCGTGCTCAGTCGGGTGGTCTACAAGGTACGTAGTGGCGTCTTCCAAATTGCTGAGAATTTTTTCCATCTCGGTTTCTGAGTCAGCTATGTTGTAGTTTGTATTGATGTCACTGATGGCTTTTCGTACTCGTCTGAAGAGGCGCTCTAGTTGGGCGATGAGAAGATTTCTCTGGGGGAGATTGGTTTTGTTGAGCATGGCTAGTTTGTCGTTGTTGATCGTTCCAGTTGTTGTAGATGTCGTATCCAGTCGTAGTTTTGACCTACTTTGTTAGTTCCTGTCCTAGGTAGCTGGACCTAAACTTAAAAAAGAACAAAGCAAAAGAACAATGGTGCGGTAAACATATTTTCAAAAAAATTATAACGAAATAAAATAAGCAATCGAAAGTTACAAATGCTTGATAGTAAATCGTTCTGATACTTAAACAGGCGGAAAATAATGTAAGCCAAACGTAAAGTTAACGTCCCTATACCAAAGTTAAGCTATGGGGGTCCAAATTGTTAAACCAATTTTTTTAATCTTAAGCAACTGCAAAACGAGTTTTCCTTGGTTGGCACTAAAGACAAATTGTGCTTCCAGCCTGGTCAGGGGGTAGAGGAAGGGTGTGGTTTCTGGCAATTAGCTGAGTGCCATATAGAAAACGAAATTGTAATCGTTTCTAATTTACACGATGTACTTGAGTGTTTCTTGCTTTGAAATTTGATTTGATTATAAATTAGTTGGTTGCACGTGTTTGGTAATTCAGTTTTGATTTTTTTTTTCAATTTTGTATTTGATGAGTTTTGGTTTTCAATTTCTTTCCCGGAGCTTTCCTGATTGCATGTGAAAGGTTAAGTCATCTAAGATGGTTGTCAATTGTCAAATTGGCATATAACATAGATCTTAGCCAAGCCAAGTTGCGATTGTCAATATTTGAGCAATAAAATCAGTTCAGCAAGTTTCTGCTTCTTCTCGATCTTGTCTCGAAACAAATTGAAAGTATTACTAAACCAAAATGTGTTCTTTCAGGTTGAATGTTTTAAAAAAAGTTTTGATTGAAAACAATTCCAGCCGATATAATATTGAAGCAGTTTTATTTGACAACTTGAAGCCTTTCACGCAAGTACTAGTCATTTCATATCCTCAGTTCAACTAAAAATTTTGTGATGTCTGAATCCTAACTAATTGATTTAACAAATCTGATGCCCTCAAAATTGTCCCCAAAATGTGCTGATTCAAACACTATTATTGAGCCGTTTGATGCCAATTTTAAGATTCCCAAAATGCTAGAAATAAAAAAACGCCGAAATTCTAATCTTCAAAAGTGAGTAGCTCAAAGTGTTTTCTTCGAAATCATTTGTATGTTGATTACCCAAAATCACGCTATGGTGTGAGCAATGAGCAAGTGTGTTGCAACCGAGGAATAGACTTTTTCCCCATTAACAAATTTGTTCACAAGATGACTGAAGTTTTACTCATCTTGAATACTGTTTTTTGGCCAAGTAACAAACAAACTTTTTCGAAATTCCATTTTTTCTGCATTGTGAATTTACATTTTAATCAAAAGCTTTTTTGTGTTGATAGTAAAATTACCCGATTTCAGTACGTTTTGTCTTTGTCTGGCTGAAAAAATTTTCGACTCTATTTTATCAGCTTAGTTATTTCATATCGTGATTTTGGAGAAGCGAAAAGTTTTAGTTTGTGAATGGGTGATTTGAGGTTGAGGGGGACTTAATAGTTTTTCATTAGTCCTATTTTTTGATGGTTTCCGTCTTTTTTCTTCTGTTTGTTTTGTTTCTGTCTTTTCTTCAAGCTTAGAAAAACTAAGACTAGTCTCTGCTATGGCTAGTCTCTGCTAAGATTT